CTGGCCATCGGACTTCCTGACTCAAGGGGAAGAGAGAGACAGCCAGGCCTGCCCATCGCCCGCCAGCCCAGCTCCGGGTAGGAGCTCACAGACAGCCAGGCGTGGGTGGTACTCGGGTCCTGTTCCGGGAGGGCCAGCAGGCAGGCGGGGGCAGCCGACGCACAGCCCTGGAACCTGGAAGGGCCCAGTGCTTCATGTGCAGGGCCGTGGGAGCGGGTCCGAGCAGAATTGGACCCCCTCAAGGGCGGAACAGGAAGCGGCTTCGCCTCCGAGCCGCCGTGGAGCTGAAAAGCGGGAAGCAGCCGGGGTTCTGTGTTTTCCTGGAGCCACCTTTTAGGATCCTTAGCGTTATGTTGCATGAGAGGGAGAGATGTGCAGAGGGCAGCCTGCTTGTCCCCGACGGATTTGGTGGCTTTGCCCGCGTCTTCTTTTGGGAGGGGGAGTCCTTGGGTTCCTGGATTCTCGCCAGATGCTGCGTGGCCGTGCGTGGAAATGGGACTGTTTCACGTAGCGTTTGTGTCCTCTTTCCCGGGGCCCGCGGTGAGGACAGATCCCTTTGGCTGGAATGGACTGGACGGGGCGCACACGAGAAGGCAGGACCGGGCCTGCGTCCCTTTGGGGCTCCCTAGGCAGGGGCTCTGCCTGTGCTGTGAGAGAGGTGCCCGTACCCATCCCGTGACACACCGTGCCGTCCAGTAGTTCTGCCGCTGACTACGGCCATACGGGCTCGTCCCTGCTCGGAGTCGGGTGCCGGCTTCTGTTTCCTGAGTGTGGAAATAAGCCCACCTGAGACCACCTACCCACTGAAGGACGGACTCGGCGAGGGGGGTGCTGGGCAGGTGGGAGGGGGAGGGGAGGTTCCGTGTGGGGCCTGAGGGGAGCAGAAATTTCATATAGGGATAGCAGAGCCTGGAAGGCACACCCTAGAAGCAGCCGGGTATCGTACACTGCAGAGCCCTGCCCCCACCCCGGGAGCCCTGCCGGGGTCCCAGCCTGCTGGAACCTCTGCCCAGTCCTGCGCCCACCCTGGGAGCCCTGCCGGGGTCCCAGCCTGCTGGCCCTGCCCATAACGCTGGGTCTGGGTAGTAAGACCTTGCAGGAGTTTTACCCCATCACACTCAGCAGGTGCACTGTGCAGAAGAGGCAGGAAGAGCCGGGCCTGTTCCCTTAGAAACTGCTGTCTATATGTAGAATAGGCGCCCTCTCTCTCTCTCTCTCTCGTCCTGTTCGCAGAGGGGTGGATGCCCTGCCCCATTAAACCTTGCTGCCTTGTTCACCACTCCTCTCTGCCTCACGGCTGAACACTTTCCTGCGTGAACCCAAGAGCCCGTTCCACTCATCCCTATGCAGCGTGCTTGTCTGTTGATCTACTTTGGGATTTTTCCACTTAGCCCTCTCTGCAGCTGGGGATGGGCCTCTTTATGAAGATACAAGTGGGGCGCTACTGACACCCAGTGACACCCAAAATGCATAAAAGCCTTTGGCCTTGGCCGTGGCCACGCAGCTCGACAGAGGCAGAAGGCGTGGCTTGGTCTGCTCTCTCTCTCTCCGCATCTGTGCCTGCCCCAGCCAGGGATTCAACCAAATGCAGCCTGAATGTGGGTGGGAGCGCGGCTCTGTCCTGCACCTGTGTGAGTTTTCTTATCCCTTGTCCTCATCCCCAAACAATACGGCACAGCGACTGTTTGGCGTGTGTAGTGTTGGGTGTTACCCACGATCTGGAGGTGAATTAAGTTAAGCGGCAGGATGCATGTGGGGTGTGGGCAAACACGGGGCATTTTACCTAAGAGGCCATGAGCGACTACGGAGTCTGGGGTCCTCGTTCACGAAACCAGTCCCTCGTGCATATCAAGGGTTGACCTGTTTGTTTTCAATAACTAAATATTTGTTGGAAAGGGAGAGAGGTAGAAACACACACACACAGCCAGATCTTGCATTCTATGGTATACTCCCCAAATGCGCACAGCAGCCAGGGCTGAACTGGGCCAAAACCGGGATCTTGTTGTCATGGTGCTGGGGACAGGCCCCTCCCCGTCTGTGTGACAGAGCAGCCAGCTGGCTCCTCCCCAGACTCCTCGCCCTCCTCCTCCCTCCCCTCAAGGATGGCCTCTGTAGCCTGGAGTCCCTGTTGACAATGCTGTCCCTGGCTGGCAGTTTCCCAGTTTTTTTGCTTGTTTGTTTCTGACAACCAGAAGGACAAGATAAGTTAACCTATCAAAAGGTAACTCTGGCTTCCGGTGCTGTGGCACAGCAGTTTAAGTGGCCACCTGCCACCCCAGCATCCCATATGGGCGTCAGTCAGTTCAAGTCCTGGCTGCTCCACTTCTGGTCCAGCTCCCTGCTGATGCACCTGGGAAAGCAGTGGAAGATGGTCCAAGTGCTTGGGCACCTGCACCCACTTGGGAGACCCGGATGAAGCTCCTGGCTCCTGGTTTTGACCTGGCCTAGCCCTGGCCATTGTGGCCATTCAGGGAGTGAAGCAGCAGATGGAAGTCTTCCTCTGTCCCTGTGCCTTTCGAGTCAATCAATCAAGTAAACACATAAATAAAGGGAACGGGCAGGCAGTGCTGAGGTCCAGTGTTCTGCATTTACGTCCCCAGTGCTGTGTGCGACAGCTGCACACTGCTCCTTGTTCAAAGCCCCTTTAGGGATGCAGGGCTGACTTCTGTTTCCCTTCCTGGCATGCTCCGGGGAGGGGCGGCAGACACAGGGGTTTGCACCGTGCAGGCATGCTACTGCCATGTTGGGTCTCCTTGTACGGAGAGCAGGAAAGAGGGGAAGAAACCCACGGTCTCGTCCAGTACCAGGCACCCCAGGGCAGCCCCGACAGAGCCGTGGGGCTGAAGCCTTGGGGCACTAAGGAATTCCAGGCAGCCAGAGCAGAGGGTGACCCTGGGGGCCCTGGGGCTGCACGGGCGTGGCCCCACCTTGCGAGTTAAGAGCCTTGGTGCATCACAGCCTTGGGACGACCTAAAGGAAACGAAGGTCGACAAACAAGCCCGAACCCCAGCTTGGCTCCTTGGCATCTGCCTTCTCCCTCCCGGCAGTGCCCGGGAGTCCAAGCAAGGCAAGGACGGGCCCTGGGGGCAGAGACGGTTGAAATCAGGCACTCGGGGAGCCTGATCCCTTCATGGTGCCCTCTCTGTGCCGTGCAGTCATGTAAAAGATGTGTCAACTGCTGCTTCCTCCTCTTTTCTAAATGCCTCCGTGGCTTTTGTGACCCTAGAGTCAAGTTGAAAATCCTCCCTGTGACTCCCAGCCCACGTCTCCACTGCGCACCACTTGTCTCTGCCCCAGGACCCTTGCACATGCTGTCCCCTGTACTTAGAGCAGCTTTCTATCTCCCTGCCCCTACCCTCTGCCTGGCCACCTGCCCCAGCTTCCCCCCTCTTTGAGATCAGAGTCCGTGCTTTCCGACGCTCCACCTGTATACACCACCTCCCACAGTCTACACTGCACCTGTAGCCGACTGGTAACGGCTGTCCCCCACTCTTATCACAAGCCCCAGGAGGGCAGGAGTTGGGTTTGTTCCGTGCATCATTCTGTGGCTGGCACAGAGTAGGTGCTTAGTAGGCAGGTGCTGAGAGGTCTGACTGGGTGAAGCCATTGTGTTTTGGTTTGCGCCCCACAAATTCTTACCCATTGGTCGAGAAGTTCTTGGACTTGGTCACGCGTCTGCGTGTTTCTGAGTCTCCCACGTGGCTGAGCCTGTAGCTCACGTTCGAGGAAGAGTGTGGACTGGTAGGCTGTGAGTGCTGAGGTGCCCGGCCCTGCCATGGCGGCATCACGGGTAGCTGATTTGAGTTCAATTCCCATGGACGCTCCCTGTGACCCACGAGGGTCAGCGACAGCCCCTTCATGCTTTCTGTCCGAGTTTCCCGATCTGGGGAGCTGTCCCCCTGCTGGAGAAAGCCTGGCTGCGTCCACATAGCCCTGCTCTGGGCGCCTTGTCCCCACCGGGCATCCCCCGGTTACCATAGCAACCGGGCCCTGTGGCAAAGGACCGATTTGGCATCCATCTTTTCCTGTGCGGTGGCCGGTCCTCAGCTCCCTGTTGGAGGCAGCATGTGTGGGGGTGGGCGTCCGTGGTGGAAATCCCCACGGAATGTTCGGGAACCAGGTGTTCTGGCGCTGTTTGGATCTGCTCCCTCTCCTGGGTGACCCGCCTGCACACTCCGCTGTGTCTCTGCACCGGGAGGCCTGGGTGGTGTTGGCAATATTTTTTGGTGTCATGGCTAACCACCTCCCTCCCCTCTTTCTCTAAAACAGACAAGAAGCCCCAAGCTGTGTCACAGCCCCCAGCCCCCCAGCTCGGACCCTGTGGAGCACCTGTCGGAGGCGTCTGCTGATTCCTTGGAAGCCATGTCGGAGGGCGACACCCCGAGCCCGTTCTCGCGAGGCAGCCGGACACGCGCCAGCCTCCCGGTGGTGAGGTCGACCAACCAGACCAAGGAGCGGTCGCTGGGTGAGTGCTGAGGGCGGCGTCTGGGGTGAGGGTGCGTGCCTGTGAGCCCACACCCCTGGCTTCTCAGTGCTCGCTTCAACCAAACGCCCGGGTCTGCTGTCAGGGATCGGGGATTGCACTCAGCGCAAGCCGGGTTTGGGGCGGGGCTGTGTGCGGGGTTGGCTGTGGTCAGCAGCGTGAGCCAGGAGCCCCAAGGCCCCTGCCTGTGGTCCTGGCTGCTGTGGTTGGCTGTGGTGCGTCCTCAGGGGTCACGTGCTGGCACCGTGGTCCTGGCTGCTGTGGTGTTGAGGTGAGGGGGCATCAAGAGGTGAGGCCTTGTGGGAGGTGGCGAGGTTGTGGGGGAGGTGATGAGGTCAGGGGGAGATGATGAGGTCATATGGGAGGTGGTGAGGTTGTGGGGGAGGTGATGAGGTCATATGGGAGGTGGTGAGGTCAGGGGGAGGTGATGAGGTCGTGGGGGAGGTGATGAGGTCATATGGGAGGTGATGAGGTCATATGGGAGGTGGTGAGGTCATTGGGGAGGTGATGAGGTCGTGGGGGAGGTGATGAGGTCAGGGTGAGGTGATGGGGGAGATGATGAGGTCATATGGGAGGTGGTGAGGTTGTGGGGGAGGTGGTAAGATCAGGGGGAGGTGATGAGGTTGTAGGGGAGGTGATGAGATTGTGAGGGAGGTGATGAGGTCATATGGGAGGTGGTGAGGTCATATGGGAGGTGGTGAGATCATTGTAGAAGTGATGAAGTTGTGGGGGAGGTGATGAGGTTGTGAGGGAGGTGATGAGGTCATATGGGAGGTGGTGAGGTCATTTAGGAAGTGGTGAGATTGTGGGGGAGATGTCGAGGTCGTGGGGGAGGTGGGGAGGTCGTGGGGAGGTGGTGAGGTCATGAGGGAGGTGGTGAGGTCATTGTGGAAGTGATGAGGTCGTGGGGGAGGTGGTGAGGTCAATAGCACCATGCTCAGGAGGCATTAGCGCAGGTCTCCTGGCCTGGATCAGCGCCTGAGAGAAGGAGTTGTGGGAGGAAGCCGGGCACCGCCCAGATCTCTCACGTGCATTCTCTGTGCCCCACTCCCGCGCACGTTCCCGCCACGGTGGTGCTGCCTGCCACGAGACCCCTGCCAGAGCCGAGCAGGTGCTGAGCGTGCAGGGGCCTCCAGAGTGTGTGCTGCACAGACCTCTCTGTCCGTGCCAGCCTCGGGGCTTTTGCAGGAGTGGCCAGAACGGGCCAGGGCCTGCATGCGGGGAGTACCAAGGCACAGACCGTCTCGGGAGCCTCCCGTCACCTCCCCGCCAGCTCCCAAAGCCGGGCCTGTCAGGGGGCCCTGCCCTGGGACGTGGGGGCACAGCCACGCCCTCCACCTCTGTGGCTGGGGGGGGGGGGGGCGTGAAGGGCTCCAGGACCATCAGTGAGCCAGGGGCAGGCAGGGAGCAGCCCTCCCCAGGGCCTGGAGGGATGGGCCGAGCGTGGCCTCCCAGCCAGCAGAGGGCGTCGTTCTGCCGGCCTCTCCACATCCCCTGGTTTCTATGGGGAACCCACTTTCTGTCTTACTTTGCGTCTTGGCTTGGGGCCTCTGCCAGCTGTGCTGGTGGTGCCATCTCCTTTGTCCCTTCCAGGGACCCCTCTGGGGGGTGTCTCTTGTTTGTAGGAAAGGGGGAACGAGAAAGGGCCCCCACACGAGCTGTCAGTGTGTCTGGTGTGCACCACAGCCGAATCCCCCTGGAAATCCCAGCCAGTGCTCTGCTGGGAAAGAGCGGGCCACAGCAGGTGTCAGGACGTCCCGCATTCGGTTTCTCGGTTGCAGGTGACGTCAGAGCTCGGCATGTCTGACATTGCCCCAGCTGTCCAGGGGAAAGTCCTGCTGTCGTGTGCATTGTCGATGCTGACTTTTGAAAAGAGATTATTAATTTGAAAGGCAGAGAGAGAGAGAGACAGAGAGAGAGACAGAGAGAGTGTCTTCCATTCACTATTTCACTCCCCAAATGGCTGAACAGCTGGGACTGAGGCAGGCCACAGCCAGGAGCCAGGATCTTCTTACAGATCTCCCACAAGGGTGCAGGGCCATCTTCCTCTGCTTTCCCAGGCCATTAGCAGAGAGCTGGAGCAGAAGTGGAGCAGCCGGGACTCGAACCAGCGCCCATATGGGATGCTGGTGTCACAGGCGGCAGCTTACCCTGATGTGAACTTTTATAAAAAGGTTGTTTTAAGCCGGCGCCGTGGCTCAATAGGCTAATCCTCCACCTTGCGGCGCCGGCACACCGGGTTCTAGTCCCGGTTGGGGCGCCGGATTCTGTCCCGGTTGCCCCTCTTCCAGGCCAGCTCTCTGCTATGGCCAGGGAGTGCAGTGGAGGATGGCCCAGGTGCTTGGGCCCTGCACCCCATGGGAGACCAGGAAAAGCACCTGGATCCTGGCTCCTGCCATCGGATCAGCGTGGTGTGCCGGCTGCAGCGGCGGCCATTGGAGGGTGAACCAACGGCAAAGGAAGACCTTTCTCTCTCTGTCTCTCTCTCTCACTGTCCACTCTGCCTGTCAAAAAAAAAAAAAAAAAGTTGTTTTATTTTATTTGAGAGACAATGATCATCCACCTGCTGGTTCACCTGCTCCCCCCCTACCTGGGGCCAGAGAATGGGCCAGGACAAAAATGAGGAGCCAGGAACTCCATCCAGGTCTTCTGTCCAGGTGGCAGGAGTGCCGAGGTACCGGAGCCCTCACCTGCTGCCTCCCAGGGCGTGCGTCGGCAGGAAGCTGGATCAGAGGCAGAGGAGTATGCCTATGCGATGTGGGTGACCCAGTGGCGGCACGGTCGCTGCACCACACACCTGCCCCTAGGTGTTAATCTTCATGTGAGATTCTGTACAGCGGATCTCAGGCTAATCGCAAAGTCCTCGCTTTACAAATGGCAGCAAGAGGCCCGTTTGACCACACCGAGTTGGTTAGTTGGCAGAATAAGACCCGGGGGTTCACGTTCCTGTTAGAAGGCACAGAACACGCACGGTGGCGTCCACACATGCCCCCAGGCGGGCTGCCTTGACCCGGCTTGCTGTCCAGGCTGGAGCCAGTTCTGGGGCTGGATTCTAGGGATGTCCAGGTCTCCGCAGAGAGAGCCTTGGCCTTGTGAAATACAGGAAGGTAAGACAAGCTGCCTCCCCCAGGCCTGGGGCCAAGCCTCTTGGGTACGGAGCCTTTGTGTGCAAGGCAGGAATCCCCCCCGGCTGGTGGGTGCTTGGAGGCTGCAGGCACTGGCGGCAGTCTTGCCCAGGGAGCCGCTCTGGGTTCCTGGGGCTCTCGCTCAGGGAGAAGGCCCTGGGGAGCACAGGTTCAGCAGGTGGACCAGGGTCTCCCAGCGGTGTGTCCATGAGAACCTGCTTGGCCTGAGATTTTCATAACTCCTGGGTCGACACGAAGGGAGCTCTGAGAGGAGACAGATGAGAACTGTGCCCAAGCGAGGAGAGTCGAGGTTCCAGCCAGTGAGGCTGGAGGCCAGCGCTGTGGCTTATCGAGTAAGCCACCACCTGTGCTGCCAGCATCCCGTATGGGCGTCGGTTCGAGTCCCGGCTGCACCACTTCCCATCCAGCTCTCTGCTATGGCCTGGGAAAGGGGTGGAAGATGGCCCAAGTGCTTGGGCCCCTGCACCTCTGTGGGTGACCCAGATGGAGTTTTAGGCTCCTGGCTTCAGCCTGGTCCAGCAGCTAACCTTGCCGCCATTTGGGGAGGGAACCAGCAGATAGAAGATATCTGTGCATGTGTGTGGCTCCCTCTGCCTTGAAAATAAATCTTTAAAAAGAAAAGAAAATGAGGCTGGCCTCAGGGCGTCCTGGCCACACCTGGCCCAGGTGGAGAAATCTGGCCAATGAGGCTGACAAATGAGGGGGAGGCTGTGAGTCACGGAGTCTCCATGCGGCTTGGGGCCGGAACTACCCAGTTCAGAGTTTTCCCCGTTTCTGTTGCCTTGGCATGTTTTGAGGATGGACAGGACACAGCGGGGCTGAGCAGGTGCGTCGGGCAGAGGCTGCTGGAAGACACGGAAGCAGACAAGATAAATAAGGCACAGTGTACGGGCATTAGCAGGTGTCCCTGGTGCCACGTAGTCACCATCTGTGTCCTTGGGGTCAGCCGGCCGTGGAGGGGAAATGTTCGGCCATTGCTGGCGTGTGCTGTGTCACTAAGGCCACTTGTGTCTGTGTTGAAGGTGCATTTCTATACTGTGTAGGAGTTGTTTACATGTGTGTGTTCCGTGTAAGAGTTGCTTACACACGTGTGTTCCGTATCGGGCATTGTTAGTGGTCTGGGGGACGCGTGGGTGATGTCAGATCAGAGATGTGAGTATCTGAGCATCTTGGGTTTCGGTGTCGGCAGGCCTTCCCGGAGCCCAGTCCTGGGCACAGGACTGTACAGGGAGCCAGGTGTGGGCTTCAGGGAGGAGCTCACTGGGCTGACCCAATTCAGCCCTTCTGAAGGCTGAGAGCCGCCAGGCCGCTCTGGAGATGTGAAGGACAGCAGGTGCGGAAAGAAACACACCGAGCGCCCTGACCCGCACGGCCGCGATTCGGTGAACTCTCTCATTTGTGACAAAGACAGAGAGAGATGGCCTACCTGCTGGTTCACCCCAAAAGTGGGCCAGCCAAAGCCAGGAACCCAGAACTCCAGGTCTCCCACACGGATGGCAGGTGCCCAGGGTCTTGGCTTCCAGGGTCTGCACTAGCAGGGAGCTGGATCGCAGCAGGGCTCAAGCCAGGCACCGATAGGGCACGTGGGCATGCTCATGAGCGTCGTATCCCGTGCACCAGATGCCCACCCGCAGCCGAAATTCTTCTGTGGGAATTGAAGCCACTGCTCCTTTACTCTGCCCTCCATGATGCCAGCGGAGATTCAGGGGAGGGCGGCTGGGAAGAGGAAGCGGAAAATTGAAATAAAATCCCTGGAGCACAGTGGCTGACAGCGGGCACTGCCTTCGTGGCGCGGCCCGTGTCCCTAATGGATCGCTCTATGTGTTTATTTAAGTG